GCGTACGACAGGAGAATCCTGGCTAAAACTAGATGATAATAAGAAACAAAACTCAGCAAAACATCTGTCAATGTGTAATGACATCCCGATTTCCTACCGCATGTTCTAACTTCCTGGCTTTGGACGTACGATTCGAGATAATCGTGGACGGCGCATGCGCGGTGCCGCCAGGTTTCCTCCAGCTCGGCTGCTTTTCTCCGCAGTTTGACGGACAGTCCGGCTCCTGAGAAAAGTGGCACTGGAGCGGGATGGGAAGCATTAAGAGCTTTCAGCGACGCCCCAAGGCCGGCTCATGTGATACCCTCTGAGAGAAGGGATAATATTTTACAGTCGGCCCGGTATTTACCAGAAGCTCGCGTCGTTCACCTCAGATCAGGGCCGAGGTATCAAAACATTGAGAGGATGAGCAACGGACCCGCCGCTGGGCTCTCTTCCGAAGGACGGCGGCCTATCACTCACCGGAGCGGGGTTCACCTGTTGGTCACGTCCTGGGTAAAGAGAGAGAGAGAGAAAGAACGAAACGCACGTCCAAAACAGGCCTCTACAGTTTGATACCAAAGAGCTCCGTGACGTAAGCAAGGCTGTAAAATGCAGAAAATCCTCTTTTTGCAGAACACGAGAAGGAGAAGTCGGCCCCCCGCTTGATTGATGGAATTGTTTCAGAGTCCACTTAACAATCCTCTAAATTTAGATGCGATTTCGTATCCCTGTTCTGAGTGTGGGTTTCTGGCCCGGGACCCAGGCATTACCTCAGCCCGCAGAGCTCCGAGTGAGCGCGGCGGAGGAGGCAGAGCAGAGGGCCTGCTGTCATCCAGCCGTAATCGTAACTGTCGCCCCATTTAACCGGCGCAGAGCGCCGTGGCGAAACAAGTGCGGTCGCTCCAACTTCGCCGTATATATTACTCTGCTTCTCGCAAACTGGAAACATGCCGGAGTTTGTGCCGGCCGGTTCAGGCAGGGAGGTAAAGAAGGGAACGGGGGAGCCGGAGGGGTTCTGGTTTTCCTCAAAGGCTTTTCGCTGGTATAGCTTTATTTGCATTTTGACAAATGTTCCTGTTGTGAATAATCACAGAACATCAGGTCCACCTTATGAGCTGCCGGCTGATGTAAGGGTAGGAGGGAAACAGACCATGACATGCACCTTCACCGAGCTCTGCGCTCTAAGAGATTAAATGAGTTTTATCCGAGCACGTGCGGTCGAGAGACTTAGTTAGCATCTAGCATGGACAAATTTGGTGTGGTTTCACTGGTGTAGAGACACAAGAAAGTTGAAAAATGTTAAACTTTTTACCCTGTCGCCGGTTTCACCCCACGTGGTGACTGCTTTCACCCGTCACTTGTTTGTGTTGAGCACGTCACCGTTACAGAAACCAGCTAGCTAGTGTCTGCTAGCTGCTAACACACCCTAGCTAGTCCAGGTACGTTAGCAACTAGTTACCAGTTGTCTCAACAACTTCAAGGGAGTCACAAAACGCTGTGACAACATCTCCAGTTTTGCCTGACAAAAAAAAAAAAAACAACCAAAAAAACATTATTACCATACATCAAATAGGTTTACTGTTTACATTTAGGTTTGATGTTTTTTTCAACTGTAATTAGAATCACTGTTAATTGCCATACCTGGTTAATTTAAATTCCAGGTTTTTTGGAATGATAATCTATTAACATTTTAACAATAACGCTTATTAAAGGGATAATGATGTGACGACTTCCTGTAGGGAGAGTGTCAGAGGAGGAGTTTCTTAAAAAGACAGAGGCCCAGTTTCAAGGCGTTAAATTACAAAGTCAAATTTATTTTAAAGTCATATTTAATATATATAGCATTTTTATAACAACTGAAGATAGCTCCTTGATTGGGCTATGAAATGATACTGTGTGGCTGTTCTTCTACTGTGGTATTTTTTTGCTTTTCATTTGGCTGCATCAAACTCCCTAGGTCAGGTGTTGACGTCGCTGGAAAGTATCGAGATACACTGAATATTAAAATAAACTTTTGTTTAATTTTACAGTTGTTGAAGGTCATTTCCATTAAGGGTTGCTTCTATTATTTTTTTTTGCCTCTATCCACCAATTGTTGATCACCATTGTAAGACCTACAGCGTGGTAGGTAGTGCACTGAGGTATGTTACAGATCATTATCTCGTTGTAGAAGCCAAACTCCCATAATCTTCAGCTGCTTCGCAGATGGCACAGTGTTTATTCAAATCTGTTTTCACCTCGGCGAGTTAAAGTGTTCCCTGTCTCGGAGGCTGCAGGACAAGCCCAGAGCAATATCGAACTCATCCCCCCCGCTTAACAGCTTCAGAGCTGCTCATCTGATGAAATTCTTCACCTCCTTCTTCTCCAAGCACACTTGGATAATCACATCCAGATAATTTTATTTTAACCAGATGAGGTTCTGTTGGACTTTTCCACAATCGCTTCGGGTTATTTGGATAACAACTCATGCTGATATTTTATTTCATTTGATTTTTTTTGTTACGAAGACGCAGAATGTTTCTGTTTTCTCCTCCGATTTCCAGTGACTTGATTTGACTCGACAAGGTCAAGTTGACGTTAATAGACAAACCAAAGTCGGGGGGGATGCTTTTCATTTTTCCACAAGCAAAATAAGATGTTAACAGAAATGTTGTACATAACTGTATGGCACAAGGAAAGCAAAACAGCAAACGTGACAGTTAACCAGGGAAGACAAAGTCAGGTCAGGCTTGTTTTCAAAAATGAATAAAGAGAAAACAAAGTCTTGTACAATAAATCATGTAAAGTCTGTCTCAGACCATAAGATGGATATTAAGCTCAGAAAAAAACAAGAGTGCAGGACATTAGACCGTACTCTGTTTTCGCACCTTTGGCAGTGCCTCCGGTTTTGACTGAGGAACTTCCAGCTTGTTAGACGCTCCTGTTAGTTGCATTCTCCTCTTGCTCATTGACATCCATCCACTCTTTGCCTCGTCAACCCAGCTATTTTGTGTTTTAAACGTCTTGCTCCTTTGACACACATGCAATCATGCCAGCTCAAACGCTGCCCTGCTGAACAAGATTTGCATCAGATGTCGGCGAACCGGCATACGCTAACAAGAAACGGGCTACTAAAACAAGACATTAATGGAAGACAGAGCACTTCAACATGCTGTTTTGAGTGTTGCTACATAAGCAAACCCAATGAATAAGGATTTTACTGTGGGTATGCCAGCTTGTTTGCCTTTGTGTGCCTCTGTGATAGCTAGGTGAGCTCTGATTCTCATCAACAGGCTGACAAAATGGGCCCCAGGTCCTCCATTATATCAATCAGTCCCGCCAGTTTCTTGAGAAGTATCATGGACATTCACTCAAAATCAACAAATCCCTGCACTTTTTTGCACTAATTGGGAGCTTATTGCAGATTTTTATCAAAAACTTTCTTCCTTGTACTAAGTAGCTGCCTCAATAGATGTCAGATTATAATCCATGGTCTACACAGCAAGTAATAAAAAGTCGCATAAATAAGCGCAAACATTTCCAAATTAGTAGCACAAATGTTTTGATTTTTATTGCAAAAAGAATCATATTATCTTGGAGGGACTGAAAAGATGTTTAATGATATTTAATTTAAAGAATCCATTGCTATTTTAACATCTTGTGAGCAGGTTTCATCAATACATTCTGGCACAACCGGCCCTTTAAGAGCAATCGTGATTTTGGTTTGTCCCAAAATGAAAATGAGTTTGATGACAAGTGACAATATTCAAGGTACAATCTCTTATGCCTTTGAATAGATAATGCAAACACAACATAAACTAAGGAGCTGAACTTTTCACTGGGAGTGTCTGGTAGACACTTGGAAGGCTTCGGGTACAGACAGATCTGACAGCAGCCCAGCCCAGACACGTTTTCACTTTAAAAACCAAGCAAACACAAAAACAGCTCTCATATTGATTCACTAAAACAACTTGCATTCCATTCAATCCTATTTTATCTCCCTTTGCTTATCGATTACAAACTCCTTCCCTTTCCCTGTTTTTCTCCATAAAACATAAGACTGTTTTACTCCTAGCAATGTTCTTGGATTTCCATCAAAAATAAACAGCAGCTTAAGTACAAACGAGGACCAGACTGAAAATTCCCCAAAGTATTCATTGTTTAATAATATATTTCATTTATTCTGCCAACTGTTAAATTATGCCTCTAATGGTGTGCTGTAAATATCAGTCACCGCTTTGAGAGTGCTTTCCAGGTTCAGCTTTGAACTCTGCTGCTTACCATGGCTGTTTGTGGGCACACAGTGAGCATTAAGGGCGAATTAAGTGGTTCGGATTATTTGTTTAAATGAATATGGTCCGTGGGACCACTCGGTGTTTTTGCCCCGAAAGAATTCAGGACCGTATTCCACAGCATTCCCACATCTCAGCGGTTGCTTTCATGAGCACAGATCTGTAATGGCTGATGGAAATGATGGCCAAAAGTATGTAAATGAGACTAAAGTTTGTCATAAATCTGAATTTTATTCCAACCATGTGGATTTGGACCCCTGTGTTGCACTGACCGGACCGCGCTGCTTTCCATAAACTCGACCCAAAGCCACTAACTAGACGCACATGCCAGACGCCCTCCTCGGAGTGTTTTAGTATCTTCAGCAGAGATTGTTCCATGTTTTAGGGGTTATGTGAATGACAGCAAACATGCCTTTCCTTTTAAAACATCCAGTGCAGATTTCAGCATCACGTTCGACTGTTGGAGTACGTTCATTCACTTAAAATGAAGGAAATATTGTTTGGAAGCATGTTTTCAAGTTAAGGACTTTGATAGACCAATGTAACATTCAAACAAGAACATATTTTTGCAAATCGGACATATTTAAAGGTTTGATATGGGGAGTTCAGTCATAGCGGTGGTAAAGTTAAAAGATACTGTCAGCGTACCTTTGCTTTTCCATTCGTCTCGTCTGTGCAATGCTACGTTAAAAATTCAGAGTACGTCCTTGCTGAGTTCTTCTGCCATTCCAAGCGCTCTTATTTCTTTTCTTTGATCTGCACAATCACCGTATAATTCCAGTTTACGAGGGCTGTTCCGTAAACCGCTACAACTCTACTCTGTCGAAACTGTAATTGCGTGAACCGTAAAACGTAATTCAACTTTTAATTTTAGGATATTTGTTCAGTGGGGGAGGAATGTCAGCTCCAAAAAAACAGGTTCAGTTTTCACTGACAATCTCTGCTGGCACGTTAAGCAGCAGCTCCAACCACGAATGTACAATCAAGCATTATGAACGGTACTTTACTTTTTTTGTGTGTCGATCAAAGTCCCATGAGACTTCAAACAGCCGATCATCCAAGACAAAAACTTGGCATACATGGCATACAATGAGAAACCTCTCAGCTGAAATCATTCCATTCAACTAATCCAGATGTTTTATTATTTATAAGAATTTACAAGAAATGAACTGCTAAACTGAATTTGTACATAAACGTTATTAATCAGATGGAATCTACTAGTTGCTTGCAAAGCTTTTCTCTGTTCCCATTAGAAATGTAAATGTGTGAAATTGCACAAATGTTGGTCTACCCTTGTTTGGTTCTGGGTTTCTTTGTGGCTTTCTCTGTGGGGTCTTGTGTATGTGCACTATTACCACCTCTAGATGGCGCCAGATCCATCCTGTCGGAGGGTGTGAGTGACATCACCGGTACACCTGACTCGAATCTGGCTCATCAGCGGCAGGTTCAAGAGGAGCTGACTGCCAGTTCTTCGGCGCCTGAGTGTTAGCCAGTAACGGTACCTCTGAGCCCCTCGAGTTTGTCTCTGTGTTCTTCCTCGTTGATCAACTCCTAGTGATTTTTTCCTGTCGCTCCTCCTGTTTTCAGGTGATCCCTCGTGATGCCCTGGATCCACTCTGTGCTGATCCTTCCTGGCTTTCTGATCAAGCCCTTTTCTCGTGACGCCGTGGAACGTACCCACTGGTTGCCCGAGTTCCCAGACTCACCTCCAACGTGTGACAACAAGTTCCTCCTGGATTTCCATGACTGGCAGTCGCACCGCTCCTCTGTTCCTGCTGATCCTGGGCCTACCTGTCCGCCCTCCGATGTGCCCTTCCGTTGCCTTCTGGTTTCCCGTCAACACGCACAAAAACCACCTGGACCCACAGAGAGACTGAGACCCCGGATGTTGCAGTTCCCTCCCAAAACCTCGAACCAACTATCCACAAGTAAAATCTGTCCAGTTCGTTTTACTACGCTCTCTTTTCCGATGACCCTGAACTCACCACCCTGCTCTGCTTCTTTAGTGTGCCGATTGTTCCCTGAACCCGTTTCCCTCCTTGGACCAAACCTGAGCCTGCATAACCATCTCCTGCCGCGTTTCAATAAACTTATTTATTTCATATCATACTCCTGTGTTGTGTTCTGCAGTGTTGTGTTTTGCATGTGGGCTTGAAATATGACACCCATCATGACAACCCTAGATTATCTGAACCGAATTTGCAAAGATCTCTTTGCTAGATTTGTTAGACAAAAATATATTAATGATATTTTTTGTGTTTGGGTCAGATCGCCAACTTTCACAATTAAAACCATGTCAATGCTACACAGGGTCAGAAGGGGGCGCCATTTCTTGAGAAGCTCAACGAACATTGATGATGCTGTCGATGGACATGAGTCAAGTTTAATCAGGTCAAATTGCTTTATATTATCAAAAAGCCGAACAGTCATCGATTATGAAACAAGTGACGAACGTTACATTTGGTCAAACACACAAAACACATGAAGCATGTTGATCGATGTTTCGCTTCCTAGTCTACACAGGCAGGTTTTCAGTCTTCATTTCGAGGAACTCTGCGTTTTAGCATCTTTGCAGTTTTCCGAACGTTCGTTCCAGATTTGTGTCGCGTAGAAGCTGAATGCTACTTCTCCATGTTTGGTTCTGTTCTCTGGGGATGCAGAGCAGAACCAGAACCCAAAGACCTGAGAGGGAGGGAGGCCTGGAACAGCGTCCAAGAAATGAAAATGAAAAGTGTTTGGGGTGAACCACCGAGGAATATCGCTACACAACTGAATCTTAAAAGGAAGTGACAAAGCCATCACCGGTGCCGTACGACTGTATTTAAACAATCCATCAATGTCATGTTTCTGCCTGTAGCATTCCTTCAAAAGCCTGGATTAAAACTTTTTTTTTTTTTTGCATGTTTCCTATCAGGATGGAGGAAGTTCTTGCATGTGGTTTCAGGAAAAACAAAGGATGGATTTTCAAATAAAAAAATATAATATTTTTTAACCATCAGAACAACACACATCCTGCAAATGACATGTGGCGTGGAGAGAGCTTTCGAAGCGCGTTTCATCACAGCTCACCGCTGGATGGATCCGTGCGTGAATGGGGAGACGGCCTCGTGCTTTTGGCTTCTTCCCCTTCAGACCTCGCCGCAAACGAGCGCGCGCTCATTTCCCACGACGAGAGTCTGAGGCCTTGAACAGCTCAAAGGCCCGCGCGGAGCAGGGATCTCGGCTGGGTTATCTATCAGCACCCTCCGCCAAAAGATTACTCACAAGAGCGCCATTAGTTCCAGAAAGCTGAAATCTACGACAGATTAGTAAATTGTAATTAAACTGACTCATGTTTTTGCTGAGAATTAAAAGGATATAGTCCAAGTCATTTTTCAGTCGAGAGAGAAAAAAAAGAGGCTAATATGAGTGTGAACATTTTGAACGGATTCAGAGCCTCGAGGGAAATCAAAGGCCAAGATGGTATGAATTCATTTACATGCTATCAGGCCGTTAACGCCGGTTTTCCGCCGTAATATCCAAAATACATAAAAAAAAAAGAAGAAAGAAATAAAATGCGCCTACAGAACCGCAACCTCTTCACTCCTATCTCGGAGGGAGATTAATTTTTGCCTTTCAAGTGCTGACATCAAACGGGGAAAAAGTAGGATTTCATCTACCAAGCGTTCACCTGCATGCAAACGACATCCAGAGGTGCCTTTAATGCATCAAATGAAGTTTGATGCATCGTGCGCTCGCAGGCCAACATAAACACGGCGCTGTTTGCTTTTGAATCTGGGATGAAACCTCGGGACAGCCAGCCAGGGCGTAGACGTTACGGGGGGAGCTAATTTATGATTTCATTCTCCCCCCTCGCTTTGTAGTTTCTGAAGTGAGGAGAAACACGGCAGAGTTTTCAGCCAGCAGGTAGTTAAAGTTGCGTTTTATTCAGAGCCAAATATATGGTAGTTTGTATGAATTAATATTGATGCACTGCATGGTAATGATACAGAAATTTATGATTACTCTGAGCAGGATTATATTAGAACTGGCTATTCTAACCTAAGAAAGAGTGTCATTTTACATTTATTTTCCAAAATTATGCCAAGGTAAACATTTTGGCAGCTTTTGGGCTTATTGATCACTTTTTTTTTTTTTTCAAGGGGGGTGATGAAGGTAATGCAGAATAGAATGATATAATATAAGAAAACAAGGATAAAATGACATTTATTCAGACAACAAAGTAACAATTTCAATATGCAGATTCACACGAAGGTAGAAATATGAAAACAAAATTCTCTGATTCAAAGAAATTTACAACTATTTTCTTCGATTTTTGACAGGAATAACCATATTTTTCTTCTTCAATTTAAGATGATAATAAAAGAGGCCATGTCTTTTCCTCTAGACATGTATCTGGGATCTCTCATCGCAGGATCATTAAGTCAAGAACGTCAAATATCTTCAAAGAACAAAAACCTCTCGTGACGACTATCTGCCACTTGAACTTCAGCACGGTGAGCAAATTCTAACGAATAAGTGAACGCTTCATACACCGAAGGACTGAAATTCAGCAAAAGAGGCGTCTTTAAGTTAAGCCCTCGTTTATTTTAGAGGCCGATACGCGTTTTGGCGTGATGAAACAAAACATCTGTCGTACGTCCTGGATGCCGCTTCCTCCGCTCGCAAACACGTATCCTGCGCCTGTAGGACGAGTGTAAGTTTTAAAGTAAGTGAAGAGGAGCGAAGGAAATGATCCATCACTCGGCGTAAACTCTAAACAGCCTAATGACATGTGGCAATATAAAATGGAAAACTCAAATAAACACCGGTGCGTCTGTTTGGAGGGACTCCTGGTACAATAGCCCAAACACTGGGCATTTGAGTAATCATTACCAGTCATAACTCAGCATGCTGGGGATGTTAAATAAACAGTATACTTCTGTAAGGCATATACAACAAGGCCCAGATTTACTTTAGCGCTATCACTGGAATCTGTGAGGTAAAGGACACTCACCAGCCATGCCAGACGATCTCTTTTAATGTCACGTCACGTCTTTTCATCAACAGTAGAGCTTTTCTGTCCGCTTGTTACAAAAACTTACTACTGTATCCGTTGGTGGGCCGAGAGCTGATTTGTGGCCGCTATATGGCATAAAGACAAACCCAAGCTGTTTTGAGACCTTCATACTCACTCTGTGCATAGAGTGTTTGATTTACATCGCATACATGCCTGCAAGAGGCACCAGTGGAGACTTTGTGTCTCTGTTGCTTTCTCATTCTTCTCCAAACACTCCCCTGTAGAGGAAAATGTGATTTTCACAGCTAAAAATAAAAAAAGACTTACCATGTCATGTGTACAAACGGTCATTAATAACATTCTTGTGTCCTTTAGCCAACCCTGATTGACCCAGTGACGTTGTTGTCACTGTTGACAGTCCGGTAGACACTGTGCTCTGGGGACCAAAATGGCAACATTTCTTACATTTTCGGAGCAGTCTCCTGCTGTTTGGTGATGATGCCCAGATTTACCTTAACAGATAATCCATGAATCTAGGTCAGGGGTCCCCAAAGTCGGTTCTCGAGGGCCGGCATCCTGCATGTCAGAATGTCAATGTTCTTCTTAGGCCTCTAACGAGCCAATCATTGGATCCAGGTGCGTTAAATCAGGGAGAGAACTAAAACATGCAGGATGCCGGCCCTCGAGGGCCCACTTTGGGGACCCCTGGTGTAGGTGATCTCACAGACATCACTTTAAAAAACTGAATGCCTAAGTTTAGTAACCTCATTCTTGTTCACTCATAGTAAAACAGATATTTAGTTTTTTTTTGTTCTAAATAAACATTCTTCTGTCCTTTGAGTCAAATAATCGGCTGGAACTTTGGAGTCCTGTATGATTATCATCTTAAATTTGACAAATGACTTTGCAATTGGTCTCTGTATTGAACATCAAACATGAAATTTAAATAGCCACTGCTCTTTTTCAGATTGCAGTGATTTGCTGTACTGATTTAATCTGGATTGTAATTTTTTACTCGATTGTTTTCGGTGCCGTTTTTTTCTTTTTTCATGTGAGGCACTTTACAGCCCCGGTTTTGAACTTTCCTAATTACTTTCTAAGCAGGCTTATTTTCAAAGACAAAATATTTACGAAACTCTAACATCCAGAAACGATGTGGATGCCGGTCTTACAGGTTGGACTGCGAGTCCTAATAGGTTCCCAATTGGATTTGATTACACGGCAATTATAAAGACTTCTGTGAACCCTACCGGGTCGGGTCGGGCAACGAGAGCGAACGTTGTTAACGGACATGTTAGTGAAGCCCAGGTAAGGCGTCAACAGAAGGCTAAGCCCAACAGGGAGCTGAAATTGAGGCTATTACATTATTTGACTGTTGTTCTTCAGTGTAATTTTGTGCAATTTAATGAAAGACAAATAACAGAAAAATCGCTTATTAAATAAAAGATTAGGGAAGAATTGCAGAATAACCTTTTCAAAAAGTATGTGATCAAGTTGAGCGTCACGTTTTCAGCCTCGCACACAGTTCTGCTAATCACCCGGGGCTCAGCTTGGAGCCACTCGGCTTCCCAGCTCCTATACGCTCCTGTTCTCATCTCCTCGAATGCGATGCTTCAAATGCATGTTTTCGATGAATTTGACCAACGCCTGACCTCACGGCGTCCCAGTTTTCCCTTTTCACCCAAGCTATCCTTCCCATTTGGCATCTTTCACTGAGATTCTTCCAATTCCAGTCCAATCTAATTTAAACGCGAAACACATTTTGAAAACATCAGATGGTTGTGCAAGTGCTGCACATTAAGAGAACAGCTAAATACAGTAAAGAAGAAGAAGAAAAAAGCTAAATTAGATACATTGTTTTACTTGTAGGTTACATGCATGTAAACTGTTCGTTGCAACTGATCTCTTGTCCTTGTTGTTTCATAGTTTCATACAATTTTGGTTATTTCAGTGTTTTTTTAATTTGATAATAGACAACTTGGACCAGAATGCATTGGGTGAAAAAAAATGAAACAATGGTATGATATTCTCAAAATATACCAAAGTGACCACGCTTTCACTGTGTCGCCA